CCAAGAATCCGAAAATGAACCGCAGCGAGGGAATGCCTTGTTATCACGCGTGATATTGGACAGTATATAAACCTGTTATTCTGATGGGAGGGCCACATTACGCTTCCATGTGAATTCTGTGCGGTCGGTCTTCACGCGATATACTCAGTGGAAGACTCATACAAAGCGGTGAGTGTGCAGAGCTATGCTAAATATGACTGAAATCTTGGTTTGGAGTTTTCTCTGTTTGGTTGTGGAGGTGTTTGGCCGAGTGGATTGCTGTCAACTTGACCCTTCCAGGCTCTGAGGAAGGCGAAATCCGCCGAAACGTCAGCTTGTGCGTAAATAAAGAAATAAAATAGCACCTCGTGCTTGCTGAACAGAAGTAGAAAGATATCTCAACAACGTTGTGGTTGTCATTAACGTTTCTCCGCCGTCCTCTTCCTCGGAGTTGCAGTGATTCCCACAGTTTTCTTTTTGGTAAACATTATACTTACTTGAATTCTTGAATAACCCGTTCTCACTGGTTGTGCGGGCCCCAGCATAATTTCCATTTTTCGGAGATTTGTTGGTAAAGCTATTGTGGTTCTCTGGAATCAAGAGATCAGCATGGCCAAACTCTGCCTCAGGTCTTCATAAGCACTGGTAGCGGCAGACTCTATGGATGTGGAACAGAGGGTGATTTGGCACTATGCAACTTTGATATCTGGTATTGCTTTACTCTTAGCTAGGCTTCCTGATGGAATATCCAGACTCCTTCTCAGCTTGGGAGACCCTTCCAGAGGATGAATTCCCTACTGTACATCGCAGTCCAATACCCAAGAACACCTCCCAGCCACGATGAAGCGGTAAACCGTTGGGAGCGACAGACATTATATTTTACAAAAGAAGAATTTCCATGAGGAAATTGGTGGTATCATAGGCCATAACTATTGTTAGCTCAAGGGGATTCCTTTCATTTTGTCTTTGGGCGGTCATGCATTAGTATGAGTGCACAAACTACTGGCAAAGTCACCAAGATGTAGGTGATCGTGAGACTCACGGCTTGTAAACTGAATACCCATTTGGATAGCCACAGCTTTCCCCGGAAATCCGGAGCATGCTGTGGACAATGGACTCGAATCATTGCGGCTTTGAGGAAGGGCCACAACACAGTTCATAATTATCTCAGGCGTGCTCGCGAATAGAGAAAGAACTGTTTACTCATGCTCGAATTTAAGTAAAAGTTGGTTTTTGAAATATTGCTTGCTACTTTGTTCAAATGCTTATGCTAGCAGCAGTGGCATCTCTTAACCTATTTAAAATCGTAAACTGCATACCATTTGCAAATCCCTTTAACCCGTATACGGAAATTAATTTAAAAATTACGCTTTGCGTTTTTAACTAAAGTTTGTAAGCTGTCTCTGTATAGAAGTGAGGAAGTTTGCTGTACAGCAGCAATGCTCAGTGGTTTGGATATTTCCGTTTGATGTTGGCTGTTGACGCTGTAAGTCAGTTCAAGAATGGAAATGTTAAAAATAGCACAACAAAGGTCGTAAAGTAGAAACAGCATGAAAGCCAAATTGGGAAACCGCTTACCTTTTTGCTCTGAAGGCTGACGGAATCTAGAACACGCGAAATGTCGTCGGATCCCTGAGTAAAAGTAGAAAAAATACAGGGCATTTAGAAACGTGTAAATAAAGACAAAACAATGTAAATGAAGCGACAAATAGTAACGGTGACGTATATAGATTTAGAACAACTGAACACAGTCTTATTATAACGTTATGTAGCGCGTAATGAACATATCCCGACTAGAAATCGAAGCAGTAAAATAAGTAGTAAGTGTATGAAAAGCAACCAACTTCTTTGCTTGCAAACTCCTCAACCCCTCAAATCTTCAGTCGACGAAAAAAATTCCCGAATTAATTATTAAAATTAAATTATAGTTATGATTATGAAGTACAGTTAATTCTAGAAAAAATAACATCGTACAATAAATGAGCCATAGAAAGACTGCATGCTGCACTATGGGGGCATACGGTGTTCAATTTCTACTCAATAACCCATTGTTATTCCATTTAGTGCTAATATGATGATTCGTTAATGGAACCTTGAATGCGTAGGTGTCGTACCAATAAAAAAATTACGGACGAAGCTCAATTTTGCCAACAAAAAACTAAATGGTGGCAGCAGTCCGGTTGTATTATTGCCAATTGCAACATAGTATAGTGCGGAATACAAAGCATATACATCCAAAAGTGCAGCAAACTCACTTCAGAAAATAAAAACGTTAAGACAGACGAAGCGAAGGACCCGCATGGTGTGGTGGTGAACGCGTCAATCCCCGCAAAGGGCAATAGCGCGTTCGTTCCCCACCAAAGACACCCGCGGTCCGGAGTTTTGCAAATATCTCGGCATTATTGAAGTTATATTTCGCAATATATCCTGCTATTAAAAGAGTAAGCAGTAAATATCAACCTAAAACGTTAAGGTTAAAACCTCCGAAGTCTCCTAGTTAATGACAAACAACAGCGCATCAGTGAAAAAACAGCGTTGGTAGCATGTATCGATTGGCATCGAGACGAGGCGGGCACGAGTTTACTGTACCTGACGGAAAATTGCTGATATTCCGTAGAGCCCATCGCGTGTCGTGAATGGGTTGAATGAAATTGCCCGTGCTACGCGGTGCAGCCACCTCGTAGTGTATGAATAACGCATTCCTTAGTTCACTTTTGATGACAATGTAAAAAATATGACACCTTTGATATGATTGGTAGTCTTCACTTTCAAGTTAAATCGCTTTTTAGGCGTTATATGTCGAGGCTCTCTACACTATCACTCACAAGGTTGGTAAGGAAGAGTGCGAAAGCAAGGAGAATTTGTATAAGTATGTACGCTCGGCTTTTCAAGTGGACACACAGCTGCATAATACACTCATGGAAAAAGCCAAACAAAATAAGGTATAGAGATATCTACTTTCATTGAAAGCAAGAAAAAACTTCATCTGTGTCTGTTTTTGAAGTCATAATTGTTTTCTATCAGCCTCCAGTCATTCTTCTGAACGTTCTTCTTCTTGAAGCCAAAGATCTCATCGCAAAGGACGTCAATGGTTCGTAAAACACTTATTTTCTTCCTCTGTCCGTGCTCAATTTTTATTTTTTTCTGGCTTCTATAAAGGTTTAAAGCGATAAGTTTGGACATGTAGTTAAGCTTATAAGTCTCAAAGGCTATGTCACAACATGTCGTTGATTTCCTGTGCAATCTCCGCTTTTGCACATCCTGAATTGCTCATGAATTTAGTTTGCGTTTTTGATTTCCAATTTGTGTATTTACAGTATTCAGGATTTAGCGACCCATTTGCTATGATGGGTGTGGTTCCCGGAAAACGAGAGATACCAGAAGTTATCGTTGCAAATGAAGATGAACCTCTCAAGTCTCCAAGGAATCAGGTTTTTACTTTTTTCTTCTTGCATAGATAGACCAAAGCAAACATTTTTGATGCGTTTTCTACGTTTCGCAGAAGTTTTCACTTTTCACGCTAACAATTCTGATCGTCTATAATCTCAGTTAAAGTCACGAACTTCACTCAAGACCATTTTTTTTCAACGTATTTAGAGTAAAATCTTTTCCGGAATTAGATCACGCCACAAAGTAGGTTGTTAATGAGTCAACATAATCACTAACCGAGATAAAAGACGGTAAGCAACGGCATGGTAGTGACACCGTTTGAAGATAAATGGGTGAAGCAAGGAAAAGAATTCTAACAAAATAGAAGAAAGAAGCACAAGAAAAAATAGTTTAAAAGCGTTGTGTAACGAAGCGGAGCACGAAGAAGAAAAAACGGGAAAAAAACGGAAGGAAAAGTCGCTAGGTTTTTTTCGTTATTGGCCTCTTTTTCTCTGTTAATAATTTTGCAAACAGATGATTAGAAACCGAGTTATTACGTCTTTTTTTATTGAATACGGGTTTGCTTAATAATTGAAGAAAGTAGGGCTATGATGACACTTGCACCCTTGAAAGTAGTACGGTCAGCGGAACCACGTTATCTTAAGAATTCACAGCTTAAATTTTAGTATCGAGTTTGTTGTCAACGTGCTTAAGACGTAATTAACTGACTATGCTTTTTAAAGTCCCATTTGTTATTTGCAAATTATTGCAGCAAAAGCGCGACGGCGTCCTTCACAGATTCGGTGGTTCATTTCGTCGAAAAGTTGGAAAAAAGACCTCTAAGATATGTTCACTCACTCATAAAAATAGTGCTGAATTTTGCAAGAGTTTGCAATGGTAGATTTTTAGTGGTCAGACGGTGGTACCATACCGGCAAAGCTGATTAAAGCGAGCTCGGTCCAGAAAAAAACATTGAATCCTCAGTGGAATGAGAAATTTCTGTTCATAGTGGATGATGTCCAAACGGATCGATTTCATATGGACATATGGTAGGTATTATAGGTCAGCTATTGGTTTATGATACAGACTTTTTCTTTAAAATACGAGTATTTCTATATGAATTTCACATTAATTCCATTCTTTGACTTGACTAGTCGTATACCTGGGCAGCGCAGTAGTAGAGAGGCGATTTGGTAATATGTTCATGGTTCTAGTTCGGCACTGAACCAAGCTAGCCTATTTACAACCATAAACAGCTGAAAAACTTGTGTCGGAAGAAATACTTCCGATTCAAAAAGTTGGTAACTGCTCGTCTTTAAGACTAGGAAGCACTGTAGCACTGCTATCCTAGGATTCCAGAGAGAATGCAATCAATCAAAATTAACGAAATTCACAGATGAAGCCGAAATCCTCAAGCATCAAGCCAGGCAGTGAAAGAGTGCTGGAATCCGTTTTAGTCGGGTTATGTTTAAAAAAAACTTTGTAATATTTCGAGTATTCCATGTTGTCGATCTACGTTCGTCGATTCAATTCCTCAAATTAAGGGATCATGATGACGAGGAACAATCTGTTTTGGATGCCGTCTCGTCCTTAAATCAAATTACTGGAGGATTTAAGGTGATTCTAGCAGTAGTTTTTTGGAAATATTCGCTTTTTCTTTCGGCTTTCCGTAAGCGCAAGCAAGCACTTTTTTATTTACAAAAGAATAAGAAGTAGAAAACAAGCGTTTCGTCGAAGATTACGGATTTTTATTCATATAATAATCATATGATCGCTCTGGGAATATCGGAGACTTCACTCTGAGGCGAGATCCTTAAGAATTTCTTTTTTGTCTTAGTTTAGAAAGTTGGAATGTCTTACTTACAGAGGAGAAGACAAGAAAATGCTTAGTAATGTGGAATTTTGACCCCGTTTTCCCTCAACCAGATAAAAGCGACTTAATAAAATGTTCCGCACCTGTTGCCCAGGGAACAATAAAATATAGTGCTATAAATGTTAATTGTTAAATAATAATATCAGTTTAATATTTACATAATTAATGATCACTTAAGACCCTTTTCTAATTAATACTCAAGAATCACTTGCGTTTTTTTTCCTCTTCAAATGCCTTTGCGAATGTAGCATCCACTATTTTGTGAAATATGATAGAGGACGAACGTTTCATAGGGACTCGGACGTTTCTTCAAAGAAGTCGCACAAAGTGCTCGAGCTGATTCTGACAACACCACTGACGACTTCCTTGGATGTATCTCCATGAATCTAAGTGTGAGTGTGGAATTCATCAAGAAGCGAACATTAGTTGGTTTACTTTACAGTTGGACATTATGGATGTTTAGGATATTCCTCCAGATGGCAAAGAGTACTGGTTTCCATTGCAGCCTCGCTCAGAGAAAAGCAAAGTGTCCGGTAGCGTTAAGTTGAAGGCAAGCTTATATCTCAAGCAAAAGTGGCTCTACTCATAAACACCTTATGGATTTCGTTTCCATTCATCACAAAATACTGATGGCGATGCTGGAGCAGTGAATAATTGGTTTGCCTACTGATGGAACAAGAACCTGTTTCATTTTCTGGTTTTTGAGTAGGTGAAAATCTGCAAAGCTCATTTGCTAGTGTGATGAAGAAATCACTACCGTCCCGCTTGTATTCTACGTCAATCCTAAGATCTATTCAAAAATTGCACAGCAATGACATATATTGTCATACTTTTTCTTTCTCTCGAAGAAAAACTGGAGTGATTTCTGTTTTCTGATGATTAAAACGTTCTTCATATTTTATTCTTCCTTTACTACTACTCCAAGCCGCCAAATTCCAGCTGTGGTTATCCACACGTGAAGAACGGCTTGATACGGAAGAGGACGATTTGCTCGATGTTAAAGAACATATTGAACTTATGAGACAGTTTGCACTGCATGAGATTCGCCTTAGTGGGGTCAGTTTTCGTGAACTTTAGCTATCTCTTACGTCGTTGAAAATTTCTATTAAGGCACCAGTCCGACTTTGGGATGGTGTGTTTCCCGATAAAGCAAACACTATTCTCCGGCAACATGCTGTGCAAGGGGATCTAACAGAAATTCATTCGGCTATGTGGTTAGTAACGTTGTTTCCATTACTTAATCAACATCTGTTTCATTAAGAACATGAACGTTGAATGTAAACTATGGTCTTATGCCAAACAAGAGAACACAGTTGTTAATCAATCCACAAAGTGTTTCTCAAACATCAGCGTTTTCCAAGTAATTTCTACAATCTCTAAAACCTTTAAAACTTCTTCATTGTCTATTATAAGGAGCTATTTAGCCGATGGCTCGCATTCTATTCAATGATATCCATCGACGTATCGTTCTCTCTTCTTTCTAAAGCTCTACAGAATATTTTAGATAAGTGGCAGCCAATGACGTTGGACAAGGTGAGTAGGAATTAGATGACAGAACACATTTTTTATTGGAAATACGGTTGCTTTTTGATTTCTGCAGTAGTACAACATTATGCAGCTTGTCTGTATTCTCATGCAACCTAGTCTTCGATTTACGAACGAAAAAGTTTAGGCTGAGGAGGATATGCTGACAAATTCATTTTCTGCATTCGATTCATACTGCAAGAGGGCATTTGGTGATCATCGTCGACAGTTTCATCCATCTAAGAGGAATGCAGCTGAGGAATTTGCCTGCCTGGTTAGGTAAGTGGAAAGTCATCGTTGAAGCTAATCTATACACGTGCGAATTAATCTCCGACGATGATAAGTTTTGTACGTGTAAAAATGAGTCTTAGTTGCCTTTTAATTCCTTTATTATAGTTTGTTTTATATATTATAGATTTGGTTGGCTTTGATATTACCTTCATTATTCTATTGCACATAATCATCTGTCGAATCCCTTGGGTATTACTATATTACCATAGCATTGGAGTGTTAAAACATTCGTTTCACCCATATTATGCAATCATTTACCAATAACGCATGTGGCGCAGTGGTCGGAGGCGCCCTGTAGCACACTTGTGGGATCGATCCCTGCGCCCATGGCACACCAACCCTTCCATCCCGCCGAGATCGGCAAATTGGTACCAGACTTGTCTGGGAGGATAGCAGCACTGGTTTGATACATCGGTAGGCCACCGCGAGTCATTGCAAAGGCCAGATGTGTATTCAATCACCTCCAAACGATACTTGATGAAGTCGAATGGATGGCGCATCCGTCAGGGATTGATCAACGCCGAGAGCTTTATCTTTTATCCTTTATTATTAAATTATTCTGGAATGGAAGCTGCTTTGTAGTAAAGAAGTTGTTGATCTAAGGTATAATGGCATAGTTCGCTTATTTTTTTAATTTTCTTTAGTTTACTTTATTTGTACTGAAATATCCCATTTTATTGTTTGATAAATTGTCATCCCGTCAGCGCACTTTAAAGAGATATGATTGAGCCAGTAATTGATTTATATATCGGAAAAAAGGCAAACACTATGCAGATATGTGAAAACATAGGTGAAAATATCGTAAGTGAGCGTAATTAAATAAAATTCAGTACTAATTACTTAGGTGTATGAAATCGCTGCGGGATTCGCCATTTTATCAGAAGTACCTCCCATACAAACGACCTTTCCATGCTCATCTGGAGTCACTCATAGTTGTAAATTTACTGCTGAATTCTAATATTACATATTATTTTTATTCAACGGTGATACTACTATGATTTTCTGTTAAGAAGAGTGCTGAAGACTTCTTTGACGAAACCGTTGAAAGTGTACAAGACGATGATCCGTGTAAAGAGTTGCTGAAATTACTAGCTGTAATAAATGGCAGTTGCTCAAGATTCCAACAGTATGCAAATATTGTGCGTGAACTTGGGAGAATCGACTACTGCCAAGTTACTCTATCCATATGGGATAGGATGGTGAGTTGTTCTTCCTACCTTTTTACCTTTTTGGTTTTCTTAAATATATTACTTCCCGTAAGTGCACCTCTATTGCACTATAGCAGTAAATACTATTTCCTGTTAAATTTGTTTTACACGATCCGTCTTCATGTCTACTGTGCGGATCCCAGCACTTCTCACATTCGATTCGTTACCGCACATCCATCATCCACGAAGGTCTTGCAAAGTTTACGTGTGGCTTCGGCTGCTGCTTGAAGATTTTCATTTCATCTTGAATGTCGTGGAATTCTGGTCGAGTTGATTATTTCCGGAGCGCGGAGATAGACTAATTAGAGCGTTTCCAGTTGGATTGCAGAGAAAGATTTTTTCCCGAGCAATTCCTTAATTTCCCAACCCTGGAGAGATGAGAAGCTTGGTGGGTCTTGGGTGGGATCGAACCAGAGCCGTGCTAGTGATCATCGGCGTCACTACCACTGTGCTATCCGTACCATGGTAAACATCTACTGTTCTTCAGAGTAAACACTATTAGAAACACAATTGTGAAAATTTTCATGCGCTCCTCACTTCGCATGAGAACAAAGCCCTTTCAATACGAAAAATGTCTAAGCCCTATTAAATCTTCTCCATTTCACATTTCGATCGTCACTTCAATTTCCTTCTGACCTTTCTGCTTTCTAGTTTGAATCCTGCAAATCTCGTATTCGCTCGAATCAGCCGACTATTTCCAGTTCGGTGTCTGTTGTTCATGATATTGCCCTGGAACACAAGCATCGCAGTTTTTAGCGGTGTCCTACAGCTCATGCAGGATAGTTGGTTCGATCTTGTCTTTCCAACGAACGAACCACTAGACCTGTTTGCGAAGAGACATTCAATACATGTCTTGATATGCACGCGAAAGTCGCTTTATAAACCAAATAAGCGTTCGTTCACCTTTATGACGCTTAATGGAATCGAAGACATGGTCCATCTCTGAGGAAATACTATCATTACTCTCTTAACCCTTTTATTTACTGCCTATTATTTTTAATGGCAGGGTATGTTGCGAAATATAACTTCAATGATGCTGAAATATTTACAAAACTGCGAACCGCAGGTGTCTACGGTGGGGAACGAATGCGCTATTGTGCTTTCCGGGGAGTAGAGCGATCACAATCACGCGATGCTCTTCGTTTCGCTTGTCTCTCAGCTAGTTCTATCGATCACTGCCATCAGCAATCACCCTGAGCTAGGAGACAGGCGAAACGAAGGATCCGCATGGTGCGGTGGTGAACGCGCCACTCCCCGGAAAGGACAATAGCGAGTTCGTTTCCCACCGCAGGCGCCTGCGGTTCGCAGTTTTGTAAATATTTCAGCATCATTGAAGTTATATTTCGCAACACACCCTGCCATTAAAAAGATTAAGGAGTAAATAAAAAGGTTAAGATTGTGATTGTAACTACAGCCTCAGCTTAACTGGGTTCACTGCCGAGTTGGGCTTCCCATATCAATCCCATTGACGGGTGATTGCTGATGGCAGAAGATCGATAGAACAAGCTGAGAGACAGGCGAAACGAAGGATCCGCATGGTATGGTGGTGAACGCGTTAGCCACCGGAAAGGGTAATAGCGCGTTCGTTTCCCACTGCAGACACCTGCAGTCCGAAGTTTTGTAAATATCTCAGCATCATTGAAACTATCATTACTATTTCTCTATGAGTTAGTATAATATCATGCATTTCTTCACTGTTTGCTAATCTTTTCAACGGTTTACCGCCTCGTCTTGGCTGAAAGGTCTTAGTAGGGTGGTTGGGTGGCGAGCTACGATGTATGGCGGGGTAATTGATCCCTCCAAGCTGAGAAGGAGTCTGGCGTTTCCACCGCGAAGCCCAACTAAGAGTAAACCAATACCAGGGTCCATCACCGTCTTGTTGTAGAGCTAGTAGCATGGTGGCAAATCTCTCTCTGATCCACAAGGATGGCGAGTGCCCATGGCGGTAACCTGGGACAGACTTTGGCCAGGCTGACCTTGGGACTCCAGGGAGCTACGATGGCTAACCCAACAAAACTCCGAAAAAATGGAGGATATGCTGGGATCCGCACAATCAGTGAGGATTGGCCATCCAAGTATCAGTGTAACTATGTTTGCTGATCTAAGCAATCATGCAGTTATTAATACTTTAACTGTAATGTGAAGCACCGCAAAGAGAAAAGATTTAATAATAAGATTTAAAAAGATTTGTGGGTTAAGATTGTGATTGTAACTAAGCCTCAGCTTAACTGGGTTCAATGCCGATTTGGGCTCCCCAGATTAATCCCGCTGACGGGTGATTGCTGATGGCAAAAGATCGAAAGAACTAGCTGAGAGACAGGCAAAGCGAAGGACCCGGATGGTGTGGTGGTGAAGTGCGCTACTCCCCGGTAAGGACAATAGCGCGTTCGTTCCCTACCGCATACACCTGTGGTCCGGAATTTTGCAAATATCTCAGCATTATACACGATTTAATAATAACTCAGTATGTCGTGAAACTTTATGCGGGTTTCCGAATTCATGGACAAATTGTTTCTGCCAATCAAGGGTACCCAATTAAGAAACTTTTGCTGCTGTTTTGTGTTCACAAATGGCCATTTCGTCAACATGAATTTTACAGCTAGACGAATACCTCACATCAGAGTTAATGAGTGAGCATAAAGCCGATCTTCGGTCACAGGTGGGTAGATAACTGATTTCATGATTGCGAGAACAGAATCTATACGCCATTGAGCAAGACACAGCGTTCAGAATTTTCTTCGTTTAATATTTCAGTTGAAACTCTCAGCGAGCCAAGATCCGCCGAATGAGGATGACCTGGTAGATTTAGTTCGCATACATATGGCGTTTGTCGAATTAAGAAACTATCGACTTGCCAATCGCGTGTGAGCAGCATCTTATATCCTATTCTTCAGTGTGGAAAGTGAACTAGTAAAATTGAGTACCAAAGAGGAAAAGCTGGTGAATGGCTTATAAAAGGAATGCGTTTTGGAAACTAGTGATGTTGATCTGAAATTTAAACCTTACAACAAGCAATCAATCCGTAATTTACATTTAGAACAGTGCATAATCCAAGGTAGAAACTTTAATTAAAGTGAAATGTAATGTACATTTACTACTTTAAGGAAGAGACCATCTTTTTTTTATTTACCTTACAGGTGTCACGGATCTCATTCATATGAGAGATCTCGAGGTGGTTAGTCGCGAGGCTACGTGGCGCGTTCCCAGGTGGCGGATAGGGGGTTGATTACGGACCAGAAGCGAACTTTCCTTCCCCGAGACGCAGGTGGATCCAGGGAATGGACTCACTGTTTCTGCCGCACTGATTTGGCATATACTCTCTGTATTTGCTAGGCGTACCCATGCATGCGTGTGTAGGCGCATTCTTGCTTATGCGGACTGTATTCTACGAGTCAATTCGGCCAAAAGCCTGCAATCAAGTGACTGGGAAGTATATAGGAGGCGGTTAGGTGTCCTCCAACGAGCTCCAGTCCACTCTGGGAGAGCCTGGCAAGCTACCCGTTAGTATACCCAGCTCCCAAGTTCAGAGCCCGGCAGGCTATACGTGGGTATCAAATACGTGGGTATCTAAACACAGTAAAAAAGGACAGGCCTCATTCCCTGATCCCGAAAGAGCCCCCAATTTCGCAGCGTTGGGTAGGACGAATACGGAGAGGTTGCCAAAATCTCAGGGTCAATGGAAGCCGCCTGAATTTCATAAAACTATGGTGACGATCTGCACCTACAATGCACGAACACTTGCATCCGAGTTCTCGGTAGAAGACCTGCTCATGCAAGCAAAAAGGATAAAGTACGACGTCATCGGCTTGGCCGAGAGGAGAAGACGCCAGCCTTTCAACGCCGTCTATGACACCGGAGAAGAACTGTTCCTCGGAACATGCGACAGTAGAGGAGTCGGCGGCGTCGGCGTTCTCGTCAACACGAGTTTGTCCATGGACATCGACTCATTCGAACAGCTTACAACCCGAATCGGACGTTTACGATTAAGGCGTGGATCAATTCCGGCTTTGACAATCTTCGTCGTTTACGAGCCGACATCAAACTATGACGAAGAAGTCCAAGTGTTCTGCACGGTCTTGGAGATGTTCTACACAGAAGACCACAAATTCTTTAAGGTCATCACTGGAGATTTCAGTGCCAAGATTGGACCAAGAAGAACGTCTGAAGAACGTCACATTGGGACCCACGAATTAGAATGAAACAAATAGGGAGAGCGACTAGCTGAGTTTGTCATGGTGACCAGGACAATCCGTGGTAACTCGCGGTTCCAGAAGCCCTACCCTCAGCGCTGGATGTGGAAGTCTCCCAATGGAGAGTACCATAACGAAATAGACCGCATCATAGTGAATAGAAGGTTTTGCCTAACCGATGTCGCTGTTGTTCCAAAATTCTACACAGGATCAGACCATCGTCTCCTTCGTGCAAGTTTCTATTTTTCGCGGAAAGTAGAAAAAGCCGCTAAATTCCAAAATCGAAGTCCCAGAACCACCGTAAACTGGGATTTATTCAATTCATTAGTCGGCTCTTGGGAAGATGCCGTTGTCGATAATATCGACCAAGAATGCGATCGGCTCATTCAACATCTTCACGCTAGGGCTATAAAAGCTCAGAGCTCGAAAGTCACCAAGAGACGTCTGCCTCCTGAAACACTCGAGCTGATACGTTAACGTGGAATCGCATCAGCTGCAGGCAACCACGAACTAACGTCCGAGCTTGCAAAGCAATGCAGACAAGCAATGAAAGAAGATCTTAGAGAGGGAAGAGCAGCAGTAATGGCCGAAGTTGCAGAGGCTGGGAAAAGCATTCGAAAAGCCCACCGAAGCTTCGCCAATTACAAGACCAAAATGATTGCTCTCCTGCGCCCAGACGGAACAGTTACAGTGTCCAGAAAAGCAATGGAGAAAATCATTCACGAATACTACTCAGATCTCTTCGATAGCCACGTGCACCTTCCATCATATGAAATAAAGGGGGATGGATATGTTGTACCACCGGCTCTCCCTTCCGAAATCCGACATGCCATTTCGTCGGTGAAAAATCGAACAGAACCAGGTCCAGACAGGATAAGACCAGAACACCTGAAAAACATTCCGCCAGTCCTCGTAAACACGCTGCCTCGGCTCTTCACCCGTTCACCCGTTTCCTGTCTGAATGCAAGGTCCCTACTCAGTGGAAGACCAGCAAAACCGTGTTATTGTTCAGGGAGGGTGACCTATACGATGTCGGCAACTATCGCGCAGTCTGCTTACTGTCTGTCGTCTACAAACTTTTCACTTGAGTCATCCTAAACAGGATTGACAGAACACTAGACGAAGGACAGCCATGTGAGCAGGCAAAGTTTCGAAGAGGATTTAGTACGATGGACCACATCCACACGGTAACACGGCTCATTCAAGTATCGCGATAGTACAAAAGACCGCTCTATCTCACTTTCATCGATTTACAGAAGGCCATTGATTTAGTTCAGGTGGAAGCAGCCTGGGAAGCCCTCGATAGTCAAGGAGTCCCTACTAAGTACATAAAGATTCTTCGTGAGCTGTACAAAAGTTTCACAACCATGAAATCACCATTCTACAACGATATTAACACTGAAGTCAAAACAGGAGTTAGGCAAGGTGATACCATCTCGCCATAATTATTTACCTCCACTCTCCAGAAGGTCATGCGAACATTGGAATGGTATAATATGGGAGTGAAAATCGACGGTCGGCAGTTACACCATCTTCGCTGTGCTGATGACATCGTCCTTCTAACACCAAACATTAGCCAAACAGAACGTATGTTTGACGGCTTTGATAAAGCCTGTGGAAAGATTCATCTTCGACTAAATCTCAAAAAACAATGTTTATGAAGAGCGGATTAGTTTCGCATGCCCCTTTCACGCTCAACGGAACGATTATCTCTGAATGCGCCAGTTATATCTATCTAGGTCGGGAATTCAATATGATGAACAACCTAGCTCCAGACCTGAGCTGAAGGAAACGAGCGGCTTGGGGAGCTTTCAAAAGCATCGAGGATCTAGTGAAGAGGACAAAGAACACGCGACTCCTTGCTCACCTTTTCGACTCAACAGTACTTCCTGCTCTAACGCTTGCCTCTGAAGCCTGGTCTTTGCGTAAGCAGGATGAAAGGTCAGTCAACGTTATCGGTAGCGTAGTAGAAATAACTATACTATGAGTATCCCGTTCCACACAAGTAAGGGATGGGATCCGAAGCTCCGATCTGCGCCAACGATCAAAAATCAAAGGTGCCGTTCTGTGCGCCAAACAGTCGATGATAAGGTGAGCCGGACACAGAATGCCTATGAATGGCAACCGATGGACAAGAGCCATTAGTGACTGGATTCCTCGCGGTGTCAAACGTACTGCAGGAAGACCACCGACCCGATGGTCAGAGTTCCTCACAAAATGCCTTGAAAAAAGATATGATGCTCGACGAGTCCCTAGAGCGAGCAGAACCCACTGAGCTGCTCTTACACACGACAGGGAAAAATGGAAGATTTACTGGCGCCCGCTCGAGTTACTCGACGATCAACGGGGCTAGAGGTGACAGGTGATCTCACAAGTGATACTGTTGATACTTATCAGAATTTATACATTCAACAACAATCTCCCTATTTGACTTTCTACTTTGAAGAGGTCAATGTTCATCTCAGAATATTGTGCTACTTAATGAGCTGAAAAGATTTCAGATTGATAAATATTTTCAGAAGGGGTAAAGATTTATCAGAATGGTATGGTCTGTTTAACAGAGGGATAAGAAAATTCCTTGATCTAGCCAAGGAGAAGGCACTAGCACGAATTTCACTTAGCTGTCAGCTTGATGTTCCTGTATGTTTTTTTTTCTCCAGTGATAACATTTGTCTTCAATACAGATTTGATACTCCACCGGCCATTTTTCAGAATACTCTTGAGTACGTTTCAGATTTGCACATCGTCTAATGATATGCGCCATTCCAGCAGTCACATTGACGTTTGTCATATCATTGAGCAGGTTCGGAACTTGTTAGAATGTTTCTAATTCCAAGGCGTAACATTAAAAGAGTTTAAAAAAACTCCATAATGGGAATTTCCGAATCCGTTTTCTTAAGCACTAACAAATGTTACTTCTAAATGAGGCTTTCATGTGTAACCATTTCAAAATCCGATGTTGTGTTTCCTGAAAAATCATCTTCGTTGTTCTAAATTACAGATGACAGTGTGCTGGGAACGAATTGACGTTAGTGAACTCACGCTGAAAATTGACTATACCAGAGCTTTTGTCGATATTCTTTGCGATATTGTTATCACATATACTCAGAAGGTAATTTACCCGAAAATAACTTAATCCAGTAGAATTCATGCATTAGCAACGTGAAAATGGAATGCTCATTAGGAACGTGAGTAAAGTTTTGCAGTCTTTATGGTGCAATACATTTTAAAATCATAAAGTTACGATGAAACCAAAGACAAACGAGGAAAAAATGAAAGCATAGTCCTAGTCTATCGAACGCGGGTTCCTGTAGATAGGTTTCACGTTACTGTTCTTAGCGATCTTGAAATCCCAAGCTTCTCAGATTGTATGATCGTGAAGGGTAGGAATGAAATCACTGTGTACACTGCTGTTCGACACTCAAAGCTTATCCAAGACGAAGTAGTAGTTGATGACACCTCTTCTGCCATAGGAGTTAGTTGGAGACGCTGGTTTGTGTGGTGGTGTGGGATAGCTTTCTATAACTTGTGAAGTGTGTGACTAAGAAGATTTCGCTAATAAATTTTCGTGTATCATTCCACGTGCTCTTCTTCTTCTGCAGAACCATGAGATAGAGCTTGCTGATAAATTGTGGAATCGTTGTTTTTCTTCAATACGAGTGCCGTTCACCATAATCCGAAATTGGATCGTCTATCCATGCTTATCGTTCTGCTGGACAACGAACATGGCAGAGCCGTATGTGAGATGTACTGAAGCTGGTTTCTTATGCGTTATACAATACTGATCACTTCACGGCCATTATGTTAAAGTATTAACATGCATTGAGAATGAAACATGTGACGATTGTAAAGTTCAACTCTTCATGGAGTTCATCATGGGGGCTGTACATCGAAGCATTACACTCGTACACATTTCCTCGTAACTTTAAGACGATTCACAGGTGGTCATGTATTGCAGAGCTTTGATACACTTGTCTATGAGGCGCCCGTCGGCAGTGCCATCGTTTCATAAAGCACTGGACTTCGTTAGAATATCTGATCTATCAAATTCGTAGCCGATTCTCATGTCCAACAAAGGCCATGAAGCACAAGAGTGACTTTTCAGTGATAGATAGTACAAAAAATTTCCGGTTTTTACCTCTTTTATTCTAAGCTAAGCGGCATATTATGTGATTAATTTCATGGTAGAATTTCTGTTCACATGTTAGAAAAAAAACTAGGTGTCTATCAATTCTGGAATTTCGCCAAATACATCAGTCGATTCAGATATTCTACAATTTGGACACTGAAGGTTTCACCGGTGATATCCAAGTGTTTGTGCCATCACCGTTGCTACAACTGGTAAATGTTTGAATTGGTAGCTAATCGTTGAAATATTTACGGTTACTTTCTCCAACAAATTGTGAAATTGCAGTTTTGTTCGGCAATCAACAACTGTGAACAAGTGAGGCGGAGTCTAATGATTCACGAAAAGCTTCATTTAGACGACTTAGCGATCGCCTATGAGAGAGCCGGTCATGTTAGTCTTCAGAGTATCCTGCAACTTAGTGCTATACTATGTCTCGCCAACACGAGTTGCTTATTTTGACAAATCATATCTTAAAATGCATGTAGTTAATTTCATAGCTGTTGAGACTACATTGTGTTTCGCACGCTTTGGCATAGTATGACGCGCCTAGTGGCAATGTCTGCAGATTGAGTAAGAGTTTGAATGTTGGTGTATTTTTTCGGTCAACTCAGCGCTACGAGTTTGCAGCTTTTTTCCAGTATATTCGGCATTCTTCTTGACAGTTGCAGAGTACCATTTATTCAGCTGCGTTGCGATTACCTATGAAATTACTAGTAACTATCTATGCTGCTGCCAATCGTGCAATTTTTACAATGCATTGGATAGATAACGTTCTTCAGATTAACCTGGCTGAACTTTGAAGTTTTTAGTAGCTAAAAAATAATTTAAGGGTACGGCGTCGTGGAAAACTGTTATTGAGCAGCGTCTTGAGGAGACGGACCTGACAGTTTGCACTGAAATTGATCGGGTGGTCGGATTGCTCACATCCCGATTACGTCCTCAAATGAAAAAACATGTTTTCCACTTAGCATGGAGTCCAACGGCGCACCCTGTGGAGGACTCGCTTAAGCCGTTGACTGATATGGTAAGTTCTTTTGAGAGATTTTGGAGCGTCGTGAAGAGGAAGTTTTTGTACTCTTAGTGATCGAGATTGTTATAAGACCACTCTTCTAGGCTTAAAAATAGTGTTTCGCAACAAATGTATACATTATGTCACAGCTTTTTCGGAGATTCTGCTTGCTACAAAACTCATATAAATGAGATGCCAGATGATTTTTACTTCACCTGTTCGTGACTTTTTTTATTTTTAGAGGGATGAATATTTCCTTTGTTGCAGAATTTTCATTCCACGCATATTCCTTTTATAAATGATAAACAACTCGTTGTCTATTTAAAATAAGTTACTTTAGATTGACATCGAACTTTCGTCTGTGCATAAGAACCTTCTACACAAAAACTTTCTTCGAGTAATGTCAGCACTTGTTGGAATCGTTGCAAATCTTCTGAAGGAATGTGTCGATGAGAATCCTGGAGTGAGGTTTATTACTGTAGCTTGACGTGCGACTTTTCTTTCTATTAGTTTAAAAAGATTAAGTTCAATTTTTGTATAGATGGAACCGGCATTTTATCAACGTCTTTTCGTGGCGTGGCATGTTCTTGTTGATTTTTTCCATGCAGGTGGTAAAGGGTTATCAATAGAAGTACTGGAGACGTCTTCTCACCATATGGTTGGTCGTTGACTTGTTTCTCATTCCATGAAGTAACCTTGCACCCTACTTACTTTTTTAAAGGCCTTGGTCAAAATACTATCGTTGAATCAAACACCTACGCAACAGCTCATTGAGAAATATTACAAGGATCTTCTCAAGCAACAAGTTAGTCGTTTTCAATGCTGCTCATTATAGAGTTTCTTTTATCGTTTCGCGCTCCGAGCTGAATCGTTTAGACATTTCTAAAATCCATAGGTTAAGACTAGATTGAATTGAAACAGAATAGCTTTGTAAATACTAATATTATCAAAATGATACACCCCCTCCCAAAAAGAGAGGAAGATGAACCAGTTACTTAGTAACCCGACACAATTCTCACCTTGTTTACCATCGATAAACAATGCATTTTGAGAAGTCTGTTGAACTCTGTGAACATAAATCCCGCTTAATATCATTCCTTACACGTATGCGTCTCCTTTATCCTCAAGTAGATAATGCTTCCCATTAATTAAAACAACAACCACGAAGATTCCTTTTAAATTTCCATAGGAGGAAGAAAAATGAAAATCAACTTGAAATTCACTGCAGAATAATTCTATGTAGTATGCACGTCTCTTATATAACTACAGTGTACGAATTTTGATTACTGTTCCATGTTGAGAATAAATAAAAGCCCTCGGCGTTAATCAATCCCTGAGGGATGTGCCACGTATTCGACTTAATTAAGCAGCGTTTGGAGGTGATTAAATGCATATCTGACCTTTACAATGGATCGTTGACGCCTACTGATATATTGAACTAGTGTTGCTATCCTCCCAGACAAGTCTGGTACCAATTCACCGACCCCGGAGGGATGGAAGGCTTGGTAAGCCTAAGGTGCAGTGACCGATCCCATGTGTACTGCACGGCTTCTCTAACCACTGCAGTACATGCCTCCTTTGTTGAGGTCTACTAAAAAATAATTATTATTATTTCAGAACGAGGTGAGTGAGTGTAAATATGGAATACTAAACGTTCGAGCATACTACAACACAAGCTCACAGACGCTTGTACTCGATGGTATGACATCAACTGTCTTTTATTCGTCGTTTTCATGGTCTTCATGAAAGTATCATCACATTTTAGTAATTGGAGCCAAACAAGTGATTCCTCTGGATGCTAACGGTCTTTCGGATCCGTTCGTCGTTATTCGACTCGTTCCCAAATACAGATATCCGACACAGGTTGTAAGCAAAACAAGAGTCGTCAGCAAGACTCTAAACCCTATATTCGACGAAACGTTCGAATTGTGGGTAATTTTTCCATATTTCTGTGCTATTGAAAGTTCTCACTCGAAGAAGCGTAAGATTACGAACTTGGGTTTTTCGGGGACTTCATTTCATCTATAATTCCAAGAACACATGGAAAACTCGAATTTCAGGAGTATTGATATGACACACTTTTGAAATGAAATACAGACGCAATCCGAAACAGAAACTATCTTAATCTTTTGACCACGATACATCATGTTTTATTATTTCGTTACCATTTAATTATATGACCAGCCTTCGCATCAGCTGTAGGTATCCCAGCACTTGCATTCGATTCGTTTCCTGACATCCATGCCCGACGATGGTTTTCGAACCTTTTTTGTACATGGGTTCGACTCTCTGCGAGCATTTTCTGACTATTCTCGAATGTAGTTGGTTGCCAGTCGAGAAATTCTCTATCGAGTGCTGAGATATTTGTGTTATAGTGTTCCCGCGTAGACTGAATGGAATCAGGTGAGCCCAGACAAGTCTGGTGCCAATTCCCCGACCTCGAAGTGATCTGGGGTTTAGTGAGTCTGGAGCGGCAACACCAGCACCGTGCTCGTGATGAGCGGTATTACTAGCAGTGCAGTACCTGCATATTTTATTATAGCACTAGAATTTCAGGATACTTAAATAAACCTTTCCAATAGATCGCGTAGGTCCTAGCACATTCTCCATTCCTTTCCCTTTAGACACCCATTTATGCCTTGTGTTGGTGTCTCTGAATATCCAGTCAAAGGAATCGCTGTCGTTCAGAGACTGAATGACAAGACAGCAAATTTCCCTTCGACTCACCATTCTGCAGCTTTGTGCAGTGACCATCTCAGAACACTCCAGCTTGGTTATCTCGCCGATCCAAGGAAAACCGGGCTATATCAGCATGCATGCACTTCATGTGATGACTGTTTATCTAGATAGCTACAGAAGTCAGATAATTCTTTCTTACCCTCGAATTCTACGTCAGGTAATTGAAAGAAGAATGATCACTTTGTGAGCCGCCCCCTGCTTGAAAGTGATGATGTGCAAGGCATGACTTAGAATGGCAAAACAATGGAGTCCGCGTGGGCAGAGCACCGCCTTGCACTTCGTGGCTAAGGATCGAGTTTCTTAAGATGGATATATCTACTACAGGTGCAGAGTGACCACAGTTGTCACCAGTTCAAGTGGTACAATCACGGCTTTAAGGACTTACTTGATGTTTTCTGTTCATTGTTTATTTTCTCTCTATAAGTAAAGTGACTTGAGAAGTACTATAAAAATGTCTTAATTTCTTACTCGCTTTTTATTGTTAGTCTACTCAACGTAGGTTGAGTTCTCGACACATATCTGTATGTTGGTTCCGGATACGAATGTTAAATCGAACGTTGGAATGCTTATTATACGTTGGACGAACTAGATGCACATAGCCTATTTTCTCCATGATCAGAAGGCCATCCATATTGATTCATTCCCTATCATACCATGTATTCATAATGGCGTGAGTTGCCTCCTAATTTATCCGCAATCCTACCATTCTTTTCACTTCGTTGAATTTCCGGTCATCGTCTGTCCTTCACTTATGATTTTCGGAAAGACCTCAAGGTCGTCGTTATACCGAAGATTGGCGTTCTGTGACTCATATTTTGCCAGGATAATTGTTGCATAAAGTGCGGAATAAACTCGGAATGATATAATTACCTCTGGTATGCTCACCCTCCATGGCCCGTAAAGAAATACGACATTTATACATTTTGGAAGAAACAAATGAATCGTTTAACTCTCAAACTAGAAAATAAGCAATGGAAGAAGTATTCAAAATCCAGAGAGTGATAAGTAAATAACGAAAAATAATTCTGACATAATATTAACATTTTTATTTATTGCCTATTCTTTTTAATGGCAGGGTATGTTGCGAAATATAACTTCTATAATGCTGAGATATTTGCAAAACTCCCCGGAAAGGACAATAGCGCGTTCGTTCCCCACCGCAGACACCTGCGGTCCGAAGGACTTTTGCAAATATCTCAGCATTATAGAAATCCTGACATAAAAGTAAATATGTGCTCAGTTACAAAATAACCACTCAATAGTTAGTTCTAACTGGATTCCCATTATTTATATCGTTATGAAATCAACAGTATTCGATCCAATTCATTTTCAGCCACATTTCACCTAAGCTGCCACCATGCGCCATGCTGCATTTCACCGTCATGGATCATGATTATCTACGATCAAATGACTTTGCTGGGGAAGCTTTTCTGGAACTGGCCGATGTATGGACTATTACTCAGCACCTTATTTCCCGCGTCCAGTCTGTGAATAACCGGGTGCAAGCAATCATCAACAAGAATACTGGTTCTGAAACGACGATTATTGACTTTATTATTGAGTTATCATTCTATGGATGTGACAAGATCGAGCCTCCAGTTGTTCATTAAATTTTGTTTTCCCATTTTTCAATGCATCTGCACTCCGGACACCACCTGGGCGGAATCTCTGAAGCTGATTAGCTAACCTTGAACTGGTTTTTTTACCCATCAGTACCGACCAGAAAGTCTCTATATTATGGAGGAACAGGGTTTCTCAAAGTAACACTTGTTCTTTAGGGTTTGAAATCAATATATCTTTCGACCACAGTTCTTTGTCGAACTTTCCATAAAGTGCTGTTTAAAATTGATTTCTTATAATTTGTGAAAGATCTAGATTTGTAGAAGACACAGCTGGTATCGCAATTTCTTCTCGAAAGAGGAAAAAGCCCAGCATTGTCGCTCATCAAAAGGCCGAAGAATTTCCCCGATGACAATTGTTTATCCTTACTTTCATAAGTGCTACATCACTTCACTGCCTGAGACAAACAAGTTAAAAAGTGAATTTCAGGTTCCCGGCTTCGGTGTGGCTGGCGGTAACACCTTGCGTCAATTTAATCTAATTCTTATCCAACCAGAACAAAATAGTAGGTATTTCTCATCTGTGATCAAATTTTCATGTGCATATGCAATAGTTTTTCCAGATAAGGAAATCATAGATGTGTTGGCCAGCAGAAAAGAAGACAAAGAAGCTCTTGAATTTCTTCGATCGATTAGTACAGTATATTGAATGGTAAATTATCATATGCGTGCTTTACCATCACAAAGTGAAAATTCTCATCCGTCGCGGGAATCTCGAATAACTATAACACTATCCCAATAACTTTTATAGAAGCTTTACATAAATACGGTACAAATAAGTCAGTGCTAAGTATTTGTGTTCCTACCGCTTTTTTTTATCTAACCACGAATAATAAAATATAACTGCTTCGGTATTTGGGCATAATGATACTGTCATACCATAATGACACTTTGGGCAAATACTGCAATCTTCGCTCATTTCGTTATTTTTTTTTTCTTAGGAGTGATGTATGATGTGCATGAAATCTGTCTCAATAACCACAACGATGCTGAGATACTTGCAAAACTCCGGACCGCAGGTGTTTGCGGTGGGGGAGTAACGCGCGATCACCCTTTCCGGGAGCTAACGCGTTCACCACCAAACCATGCGGGTCCCTCGTTTCGCCCGTCTCTCAGCTAAATTTTATCGATCCGCGCCATCAGCAATCTCTGTCTCTATATTTAAAGTTAATTCAGAGGTTCTGTTCAATGATTGGTGGTCCATAAACGACTACAAAACGAAAACAAAACGGACTTCCCAGTTCTTTCGAAAAAATTATGAAAAATCAGAAAATTGTAAGACTTAGCACATGATGGGATACGGAAAATGGCCATTGGACTCAACCTAGAATTCTTTAAACAGATTTCACAGATGTATGCAATGGAGAACGAACACGCGCTGTTGTCCTTACCGGGGAGCAGCGCGTGTTCGTTCTTCATTGCATACACCTGTGATCCGGAGTTTTGCAAATATTTCAGCATTTCATACAAGTTGTATTTCGCAACATAACCTGCCATTAAGAAGAAAAAGGCAGTAAATAAAAGAGTTAAGATTTCACAAAATTTGTAATTTCCTACAGATTACGAGACCGCTCTCACACAAGTACCGAATAGTTTTAGGCTGTTCGGAAATTAATGTTCAATTTATATTTTCGCATTTCTTGTATATGTCCCAAGTTTTGTGAATGATGTACTAATACATGTCATTGCAAAACTCATTTCATGGACTTTGGGTAAGTATAGTTGAATCATAATCTTTATAATTATTTAGAGAGCGGGTAGTGAAATGGTACTGATCCCAATCGTAACGAGCACGATGCTGGTACGATCACACCCTACGTTCATCAAGCCTATCATCCCTCCGAAGTCAGGAAATTGATACCAGATTTGTCTGGGAGAAGTTCACTCTATGCAATCTAAGTGGGAAAGCTGTAGCTCGCCTACCTTAGGACGCTAGGGAGAATCGACCTGACCAGTATTCAACGGCATCCATGACGAAAGGCAGCAACCGAACCCAGCAAAAAGTTGGATGACTTTCGTGGATGATGAATGCAAGGAAACGAATCGAATGTAAAAAGTGCTGGGATCCGCCTAGATATGAAAGACGGGCGGTGTAAAAAAAAATTGGATCGTGATATATACCGTGTTAAATTTTGAAGGATGAAATTTGAGATGCCAAAACAACAATTTCGATAAATCTAAGTGTTAAGGATTCGAATTCAGATGTGGGGCTGCGTAAACGGTTAGAAACATCAACGAGTTATGGGGCCAAGGAAGTGTTAAGGAACTTCCAGAGCAACGTTAGTTTGGAACATCTTTCGTGGCGAAGGTGGGGATACCGCGTGGTCCATCCGTTACTAACGAGGAAAAACTTGAGGCTTTGCTGTAAACAAATACACGCACAATGGTCCGAGAACTTACAGAAAAACTCTGCGTAGTCACCTCAACTCTTTCGGAGTACCTAGTGATAAGTTAAAAGCGAAAAACCTCGACAAATGAGTACCACACTAATTTAAACAAATGAAAGAAATCGTCGTTCTGAGATATCGTTAGCGCTTCTTCTATGGAACCATAATGCCACGTTTCTCGACCATATTATAACACTCAACATGAAATAAATCCTCTACACCTACCGGTAATAATCAACTGAGTGGTGGAACTGCTGTGAAGATCTGCACCACTTTCCCAAAGCAGAGATTGCACCAAAGTAAGGTCACAGTGAATATTTGGTGGTTTGCTGCTTGATTAGTCTATCATAGTTTCATGAATCCGTGTGACCGATTACGGCAGAGAAGTACGTTCAGCAGGTCGACGAAATGCACGAGAAAATTCAGCAGGTGTACTCTGCATTGGTCAACAGAAAAGGATTGGTCCTCTAAGTAACGTTTAGCCATACTTTGCACTATCTACGCTACAATGACTGAACGAGCTGAGCAACGAAAATCCCCTTCATCCACCATACAACCCAGATTATTCGCCTAGCGACTGCAACTTCTTCAATCATCTCAATAACTTCCTGTATGAGAAATGCTTCAAAAACGAAGTTGAGGCAGAAATTTCCTCCAACGACTTCATCGTCCCTGGAAAACTAGAACTTTTAAAATATGGGTTAAAATCGGACATTAATTTCCAGAGAGCCTAATAATTGCAAAAGCCTCTATATTACCATTATTGTTAGCACAGAGAAGCACATTACCCACATAATTTTAACTACTCGGGCAGTTATGTCGTACATTTGAACTTTATTTAATAAATAATTGGCCCGACTTCACGAAAAACCATACATACCTTAGTCCTTAGTAAAATTTTCGATTCACTGGTAATTTACTAGTGCAGAAATACGGAAGGGAAGGAATTGTCTTTGGAAGACCTAGTTAGAGAATGTACCTCCGTTATATATAGTAGCTCAGTATCCAAGAACATTCTGTACCACAATGAAACGATAAACCAGTTACGTGGGTATTTCTGGTAGTATCTGACGATTTATTATGAGTATACAAAGATGGGCTAAACACGTATAGAGTACCCTTAGTACACTTGATGTCTGACGCTCAGTGACCAGAGATATGAATTTGCTTTGGACATAATTTTTTCCACATTTTGATACAAGGTATTAGATGATTTACCGCCCCACCGTAATACAAGTGTTCCAAGATGTTGATACGTCTTGTGAATACCAAGAGGTTGATTTCCTCACATCTCCACCCGGTAGTTCATCTTAAGTGATCCAAATAGCTGCTAACTGGCTGCTAGTGATCCAAAAAGCTGCTAGCTCAGAAATAGCTGCTTGTGGAAGAAGCCCATATGAAAGAAAGCATGCGTCTTAAAAAGCGAAAGCAGCAGACTTTCGACAGTGATGACGGTAGTCCGCAGTGGTTTGGTCATCATGAGAATATAAACAAGAAAGACAACTTATGTAACCAGTGAAGTACCGTTTCTAGATTGAAAGTGCGCGGGACACACAACTGGCGAAGGCAGGTTATCCTAGCCAAGTGTCCATCATTATGCGTGTTGGTTACAAGCTGAGAAGTATTCCTCACATTAAACCGAGTATTTATGTTCAGGAATTTTACTTATTGAGCATTCGTGTATATGAACCCTAGTGGACCACATTTAGTGGTTACCAATTAGATAAATACCAGTTATCTTTATAAAAACTAATGACACGTTGTGAAATGGTATTTACTGTCCGTTCCTTAGTACATGCTATCATCACCCCCTGCGAAAGCCACTCAATTCCATCTGAAATGTCAGTATGCGGACTCTGTCCGAACTATTTTTTAGAGATAACAAATTCCTTCTAATGGGTAGATGGTAATGAAAAACTGGACGTAAGTAGAAATATCCCGATATAGATTTCTAATCATAATCGAAACGGAGTTCGAGATATTACTATGACGGCATGGGTGAAGATATAAAAACGAAGTGAGACAACAGTTCGAGACAACCATGCATAATATTCTTCTCCCATATCTCATAGTTTATTTCCAAATGACAAAGACAAAAATTGAAAACAATTTAAAAAGGAAACAAAACAAGAAAACAACTTGTTGAGGTCCTCGACCAAATTTATACCAGGAGGATCTGGTCAGGAAACAATAATGTACAATTTCGTACCGTTCGACAACGTAGTTCATTTAAGATCAAAACCTCACCACTACGTAAATATTGCAAATTGTAGGCTCTAACACACCACGTTATAGATTACACAGTATGTGGTACTTCTCAAAGATATTAATCAAAAATGGAAACAGACGCATGAGAATGTTGATGGACATGGAACAAAAACTGCTTATACTACTGCTAAATTCTACTAAAGACAGACGATGACTCGTGCAGATGAAAGACACTATGACGTGAAAGGTTACAATTCTCATAAAAAAAACATACGTCCGCTGATATCATGACACATTACTACTTCTACGAGCTTGGCCTAATCATCATAATGGACTTCTTCGGATGAATGAAATACTTTTTGTTACGTGTTTTCGAACCGCTATAGGTGTAGACCATGTAGCGACGACTAGGCTCAGTATCACCGTAGATCCCATTCAATGCCACATGACCACAGTTGCTATGCCACCAGCCTCTGAAATAAATACGCAAAATCGCAAGAGGCAACTAAGCGGCCGAGAAAACCCTTGTACAATTCGCTGAAGAAAAAGAACTAGACCCAGAGAAACCGACAAAACCTTGTGGAAAAATCATGAAATAATTACCCATAATTTCGAAACTGAGCACAATTCAGTCCAACAGCGTCATTATCTCTATCGATAGTGGTGAATGGATAACCATTACTCTCCATCAAATAATCAGTAGAATTCGGACTAGTTAGATTTCCACGGAGAACAGGACCGAGTTCAATCACATACATTGACGAGGAGTCACCAAGCTGAAGCCCCAATGATATGCAAAAATGGTTTTTAAAATGCATGCATAATCACGAAATCATTTTACACATCACCTTAAAAGGCCATTCCCCCCACCAAAAACCATCGCTTTCCTTGACACAACCTTGACCGGAACAAGTGTCTCCATGTAGTTCAATACGAAGAGTCCAACTATCCATATTACGTGGAGCGAGGCGGTGGATCTTCATTAAACCGAGCCAGTAAGATCCTACAAAAGTAACCTTTGTGAAAGTTCGCTAATATCAACTCACGCGAAGATTGTAAATGGTGGGACCTTTGATGTCTCCAAAACCATTCTCATATTCATGCCATGTACGATTGTAGAAATAAACAGTAGGGCCAGTTCGCCTGAATTATTACTGCTACAAAAGATCATTTGATTGCTTCTCATGTCTGCAAACTTGCAGTTCCTGCAGTAGTGGACAAAGATTATGAAGACTAGTAAACCCACAGAAAAAGAATTCTAGGAAAGTCCTCGGGAGGAAATCTCATCTACCTTTGAATAACTGTCCACCCTCCGCCAGCAGTCTCTTGATCACAATAGACCAGAAACGATTCGCCACCATCCGGTGAAACTGAGTAAATACCGGATCCACTTCTCGCCTCAGCATGAACAGAGCAATCCTGAAGAGATCATCAGAAGAAAAAAAACTCGCTCCCTAAATTTCCTAGCAAATAAAGCAACAAAACTGACTTTTTCCACAGTACTGGATACAGGGATATTCGAAATTTCGGCACCCTGCAAAGCAAAGGTGACAACAATATTTGCTGCTTAATTTTAACCTTATTAAACAAGAACGTGACTTAATAGCTCAGGACGGGATATAACGAGATGGAATACAACCACAACGTTGCAGAGATATTTGCAAAACTCTGAACCGCAGGTATCTAAAGTGGAGAACGAACGCGCTATTGTTCTTTCCAGGGAGTAACGCATTCATCACCACACCATGCGTGTCCTTCATTTCGCTTGTCTCTCAGCTAGCTTTATCGACTAGCGCCATCAGCGATTACCCATCAATATAACAAGATGGTTTTCTAATATAAACTCATCATTACCTTCTCATACTATAGCAGCCGTAAGCAAAACGGCTTTAAGAAAAAAAACCTGAAACGGGTATCACTATTATAAATCGTTATTACTACTATTTCATAAATCTCTTCCATGAGGGCTCTCGAACAGATTCACCACAAAGCTACGTGTTGTGACTCCTAATAATGGATAAGACATTAAACGCGGATGTTAAACGTTAAACCTATATTTGCCTTCAAATGTAAGAGAAGGCTCTATTCGGAGAAGAGAATTCGGAGAAGTAGGCTCTATTTCGACTTCGTCAGATTAACCTGTACTTTTATTGCACACAGTCGTATTCACAATTGTAAATACGCGTATGTTCCCAACGCATTACTGCTCCACCGTGGTAAGAACGTGTTCCTGGGCGTCGGCCTCCACTGTAGAGCGGTGGAGTTCGCCTCCCAGACAGCGCATGCCAAGCTGAAAAGGAGTGCGGCGTTTCCATCAGGAAGCCCAGCTAAGAGTAAACCTATATCAGGATCCAACAGCGTCCTGATATGAAACTAGTCGCACTGTGGCAAATCTCCTGATCCAAAAGGACGGCGACTGCCTGTGGCGGTGGCGACCCGGGGCGGACTTTGGCTAGGCTGACCTCGGGGCTCCAGGGAAACACAATAGCTAAACCAGCAAAACTCTGAAAAATGGAGACTATGCTAAGGCCCGAACAACCAGCAAGGACGGGCCGTTTAAGTACCCATCTAAGTGTCCAATTAAATAAGTAAATGTTTGTATGTAGATTGAATCCAGTACAATGACTAATCTTGAAGCCTGCAATCAATACGAGATGCATGGGAGATAGCAGCGATAGCAAAAGGTCACCTCCAACAAGGAAGCTTTACTCCAAATCATAGAGAATAAGTAATTAAGCTCAGTCTTCCAGCTATATCTTCATCAATACGCCTCGAGAATGACATTCTCAAAACAATTAATTACCACAACGTTGCTGAGATATTTGCAAAACTCTGGACCGCAGGTGTCTATGGTGGGGAACGAACGCGCTATTGTCCTTTCCGGGGAGTAACGCGTTCAATTACAACAATTAATTACTACCAAAACGAAACCAGTACTGGTCGACTTTAATGCTACGTATACAGAGAATGTTCAACGAATGAATTCAGAGGAAAAACTTTCTGCGAAAAATACCAATGGCTGTTCCTGCGCCGACGTACTCCATTGAAACGTGGACAGCACTTAAGCAAGACGAAAGGGCAGTCAACGTTATCGATCACGCTCGTGAAAGTGGATGGGGAAACAGGGTTGACCGGTTTTTTTTCTTTAAAAACAGACTTTCCTTGAACCTTGGTATGAGTAGTCCACATTCCACATGCGTTTACATTAAGCTGCTATGAAATTTAAAAGCAAGCCAAACAATTTAAACACATTAGTCAACATTGAGGTTAGAGAAAAGGTTTTTGAAATATTGTTACGCTCACTGCTAGTTCACAACGATACCAACTTCTACTGGATGGATTGTCAGGGAAAAACAAGTTGTTACCACCGGACGATCATGTCGACAGTAAGCATCCTTTATAAAAGAGTGTCGCCCGGTGAGGCTGCATCGTTTGAGCGCTACTACACTGACGAAGATCTGACTCGATACGACAACGAAGACACTACATCAAGAGTACGAAGAACTATGGACATCGATCCGGGTCATCGGTTCTGAAGAAGACGAAGATGTCGAAACGTTTGCCGAATAGAAACTTCATAAGGACCTCGTGTAAGCTAAACAATTTAAACACAAGTCGACTACTACATTAAAAATCAAAAACCACTAGTGCTTCCGCTAAATACCATTGGAAACCCGCCAGAAACTAGGTCTCATGGTACATTAAGCAGAGAACGGGAATACCACCATTTAATAGTTATACTTATTCAGGGAAACCCTAAACGAAAAATGTGATAGTCATTTAGCATTTTTTTCTCCTCGATGGAAGGAAACCCGTATGCAAGTAACGATGTGTCAGAAAAGAAAAAAAAGTTTACTGCGGCTTACTTAAAACATTCTATAATAAGCAGAAGGACAAACGAATAGACAAAGAAATTGCTGGCATTCCTTATGCACCGAATAGTTTCGGTTTGCTCTATATGTCACCAATGGGTTTTATCGCACAATCACGAGTCAACAAGTTCACACCTTCGTCATGACCAATATAGCTCAAGAGTTCAATGTTTCCATCAGGAAGTTGAACCAAGAGTCACGCTACAACAAAGCCAGTCAAGCCACTTTCTCGTCAAAGTGAGTGAAAAATAAGCCCCCTCACACTAAAATTACCGAATCTTCGCGCCCTTTGAGCAAGAGTACCAAGTTACCACGATACACGACCAGGAAGAATGAAAATATTTTCAGTATTTGTTCGATTCTGTAATTTAGTAACTAGTGGTGATGACTTACTAGAATTATGCGACTATTATTGAGAAGGGTTAACAGAGATGCTAACTATCCCAACTGTACAAGCAACAATGTGTATAGAGGGTATACAATTGATCACGGTCTAAAAAACCACGCTTGACAACCGTAAGTGGCAGAAGGTAAAGAACGACTAAGGAGGAACAGTAAGGAACAGTATGAAAGCAAAAGATAAAAATTACAATCCATAAAACATAGCTACCCCGCTCTACAAAGAACCAAGCAGCGGGAAAATAACAGAATAAAACAAGGTTCACGATGCTCGACGTCTACATTATCATTTTTGGAACGGTAATACCGTGTAAATAAAAGAAACAAAGTAAACATTATTCGTTAGAAAGTTGGGTGAACTTTGGAAAGGCGAAAACAGCTGAAATTCACTTGGACGGTGTAAGAACATTTAAAGACCGCTGCGTCTCTCTCACTATACATTATATACGTATATATATACATATATATACACATATATATGTAAGCACGAGCGCATGTTGCGCAGTGGTTGGAAGCGCCCTGCAATACACATGGGATCAATTCCCGTGCCCCAAGCTCACCAAGCCTTCCATCCTTTCGGAATCAGTAAATTGGTACCAGACTTATCTGGGAGGATATCAACAATAGTTCGATATATCGGTACGCCACAGCGAGTCATTACAAAGACCAGATATGCATTCGGTCACCTCCGACGATGCTCAATGAAGCCGAAGGCATGTCACATCTCTCAAGGATTGATCAACGCCTAAAGCTTTGTCCTCTATTCTTTTACATACATATATACATATATGTATATAATGTATGTATATATGCATTATATGTATATATATGTATACATATATGCTATATGTATATGTATATAACATGATGCGGAGAACCACAATGCTTAGAGATGCTATACAACAAGCAAATATGGTATTTGGTTCGATCCAGACCCAAGTCAATTAAGCCTCCTGTCTCTCTAGAATCGGCATACTTGTATGGAAAAGCTCCCTCCGATCTGCAGTGTTCGGCGACAGCTCGTGTTGAAGAGCTGTAAGCTCTATACTATAACTATTCTAAGAAAGCGGAAATAATTTATTAGACCAGCATTCGACAGGGACCATGAAGAACATGTGATCTTCAAACAGCAATCGAACGCGTATGCAAAACCTAGGACCTTTATGAACGAGAGATATGAAAAACGAAATAAACAAAATACCACCAATATAATATAATAAGATGGATCATAAAACCACAAACGAACATAAACAAATGAATAAATAAATAAACATACACATACCAAGCGATGTTTGAACACCTCAGATGGTGGTGATATAGACGTCGTTTGAAGGATCACCGTGGGCTCAGCAGTGGTAGTCCGGCTCTTCGTTAATGGATTAGTACTAGCAGCAAAATTACGAGAGGTTGCTTTAGTAATAGGAGCAGTAGAACCCGTCGTAATTTCAATTAAAATATGGTTAGGACTTAGAGGCAGTTGCTCCTGCTCTCTAGAAATTAAAACTTTAAACTGCGAACGAGTAAATTACACGATGACAATGACACCCACGTACCGGTAAAACGCTTCCATGGGACCACCTATTTCTGACTCTTTCTTATTGGACGAAATTTGCAAGAATTGATTGTTTGGTTTGATTTGGTATGTCTTACGACGACTATAAGGCATGGTGTCCATTTTTACACCAAACGGTTCAAACTCCTTAAACAGAGAGAAACTTGAACCACTAGACAAAAAAAAATTGACTCGAAAGGAGTCCTTATTAGTAGGGAGCCTCTTGGAGTTATCGTTGATCGTTGATTAGTCACCTTTTACCCACTTAGTTGATCTTGGCCAAAAGACTGCGTGTGACGCAGTGGTTGGAGGCGCCACTGCGACACCCACGTGGAATCGATCCCCGCACCCATGGCCCACCAAGTCTTCCATCTTTCCGGGGGTCGGCAAATTGATACCAGACTTGTCTCGGAGAATAGCACCACTGGCTCGATACATCGGTAGGCCACCGCGAGTCATTGTAAAGGCCTGATATGCATTCAGTCACCTCCACACCATCCTTAATGAAGTCAAATGCAGAACGCATCTCTCATGGATTGATCAACGCCGAGAGCTTCATCCTTTATTTATTTTACCCACTTGGATTCACTACTACATTAGTGAAGACCACCCTTGTGAACA